TCGAGTGCAAAGGAACGATGTACAAAAGTACGCGCCATTGTATTCCTCTTCATTACAGAAAATTTATGAAGACATTTGATCACTTTATAGACAACACAAGATCACGGTCTTGCAGCTTTCAGATCATAAACTTGGCCTCTGGTTTTCTAGCGAGCATCAGTTCGGAAGAAAAGAAAATGTCCTCGTAAACAAGCAACTGTCCGTTCCCCGAAATAGTCACCTTACACCGAATCATGGTTCTATGACAAGTAGCAAGATAAAAGTATTGTTTAAAAATCAAAGAAAGACCTATTGCACAAAAAAATCACAGTTAATCATTCGGTTCATGTGGTGATTCATTAATTGTAATTATTGGATATTGATTTGATCTTGAAAAACGATGTAATGTTTGATTTTTATTTGTTGTAACAATATCAACAGTAAAACCTTTTGAATCTAAAAATAAATTTTGTATTTAAAAATGAGAAAAATATTTTAAACTCACTTTGTTGATGTTCATCTGTATCTGATTCAGCAGCTGTTGTTGTTGTTGTTTGTGGTAAAAGTCTAATGCTTGGATCAGTTATTTTTTGAATAAAATCATCTAATATTTTATAATTTAATTTAGCATTCAATGTTTCTAATGGATGAACATATTTTATATCAGAGCAGACAACTGAAAATAAAGAAAATTAATCAATGATAGTTTAGTTAGATTTTCTTTCATCTTACTTCCTGCTTGTTTTCGTTCCAATAACTTATCTAAATCTGGTGTAGATATAGCACCACGAATTACTCTTGTACTAAATAAACATGTTAATGGAATATGGGAAGCTGAAGAGGAAAAGCTGAAATAAGTCTTACATAAACATTACTGAGACCATTGGAAATATCACGAAAAAAAGAGCGATTTTTCGCATTCTTTTTCATTTACTTGATCGGGATCAAAACAATCTTCTCTCTCATTGCCTCTAAAACTTACAATGTCGATGTTCTGGTGAACTACCATGAATTGTTTTATAATAAGTCGAAGTTGTATCTATAACAACAAACCCAATACATAGAATTTAGGCTTTTCCCATTATTATCAGCAAACATAAGCATCATCCTCAGCCCCACATGCTAAGTAATTATCATGCAAAAGAACACTCAAACATAATCATGGTGAATGATAAGGTTATACATCTTCTACGTTGTCGTATATTCTGACTCTCTTCTGCATCAATTTTTCAAATATAAATATTTCTAATGTAAATTGTAGTACAAATCACCCCTAAACCGTTTAAAAGGAACAAAAGAAAACTGTTTCTATCAATGAGAGCAGACAAAAGCTTTAGTTGTCTTCAGTTTTGATTATTCGTTTAAGAAGGGTTCTAAGAGAGTACTATTCTCACGTGGATAACTGGTTATTCTATTAGAAAGCTCAGAAAGAGTAGTGAATTACTTTACTCTGCGGGTGTAAAGGAGATCAACTTTTTTTGAAAATATTAGAAGAGATAGCAATACAAAATATAATA